TTTTGATTTATGAAACGTGAGATAACATCCGACGAATGAAGATGATGACGATGACACATCTTTGGTGGAGAAACAGATATTTTTACCACAGATCTTCTTATCATTCGGCCAAAAAGAAAATATTGCGCGAAAATTAAGAAGCAATATATGATAGCTTGAGGAAAATCGGTAGATAATATATTATATATATTATTTTGAAGATGTACCCCTAAAAAGTACCATACATATTCTGAGATCATAAATCGGATTCTAGTAAGTAAATGGTTTAAAACATTGATCTGTGTATATTTTATATTCCGAACTGAGCCACACTCACAATCACATTCTTCAACCCAACACCAACAAATCAAAGATAATTTATTATTATGAAATTGATTAGAAAAAAAACATAATATTCGAAATTTGTTTATTTACAAATCCATTTTCATTAAAAAATAAATTAAATATTGTTTCAAATTAATTGATAACATTTAAATTTATTGAATGTTCTCGTAGATTAATCTACAGCCGGCACTAATAAATTAAAATCCCATTAAACAAAATTTGATCTTTTTGTTTTTATTTTTTAATATTTTAGACAAGCGGTGGACGGACTGGTTTATCGTAATAAATTTATTTCTGTTAAATGCCAGATGATGTTTTTATATCACACCCAGAAAAAAGGAAGTTCTTCGAACCTTATAATTTTCAAATAAAGATCGGCTCTACGTCTTGGTTGGAATTTCAAAAATTAATTTTAAAAAATTTACGCCTTGGTTGGAACTTCAAAAATGAATTTTAAAAAAATATACTCCTTAGGTTAGGGATGTACTGTTGTTAGTAACAACCGTCCACTCGAAGACTAATGTCCATTGTGATCAGGGAGTGGAAGAGAAGGAGAAAAGATAGCGAGAAAAGAAGAGCGGAGAAATGGTTATTTTAGACATGTCAAATGTTTGACAAATCCGGTTTGGGTCTATTTTAGAGAAAAAGGCTAGATTATCAATTTCATATCTTCCAAACTGTTTATGTCTTCTGCTAATCAGCGATGGACATTTACAGAGGATATGTTCAACTGTTTCTAGTTCTTCTTCGTCCTCACATAAACGACAGTAATCCTCTCCGCTGGAGTCCCACTTCGAAGTGAGATATATAATCATGCAGTGACCTTTTATGACACCCACAATGATTTTAGTCTCTCTCTCTCTCTCTCTCACTCTTATTGTGTGCCGGCAGCGGAGAAGTTCTTTGGCGAGAGAATTCAGGCCAGATAGATTTTGAGATTCTGCAAGCAGGTTTTCTCAACCATCTGTTGCCGACTACCTCGCAGTAGAACGAGCGGATTCTGCCAATGAAATAGCCAATGGGAGGTTTCACAGATCTCTCAATCGGAAGATTGGACGACTATCCAGCTCATCGGCTATCTCATTCCCTTCAATGTCACGATGTCCTGGAACGCAACATAAGCTAACTATCTGTCGTGTATCTATAGATTTATCTATCTGTCTTATCTTGTGTGCCAGCAGCGGAGACAATCTTTTGCGAAAGAATTCAGTCCAGATAAATTTTGTGATTCTGCAAGCAGGTTTTCTCAACCACTGTTGCCGACTACCTCGGCGTATAACAAATTTTGCCAATGAAATAGCCAATGGGAGGTTTCACAGATGTCTCAATTGGAAGATTGGACATCTGTGAGCTCCCTCGAGCAAGCTCGTCGACTATCTCATTCCCTTCAATGTCACTATCATTCAGATATCGTATATCATTCAGAGCGGACTTGCAATCATAAACTTTTGCTTTTGAGTTTATAGTACGCGACTTCACCGCTTTATGGGCCGCCTGACTATCGACATATATAGTCACGTGTCCCGTAATGTCGGCAGTAAGTGATTTTACTATCTCGGTCGCTTTCGTGATTGCAAGGATTTCTGCTTGAAAACTGCTACACAGATTGTTAAGTTCCACACAGATGTTACCATACCGCTTGGTATCTCTTGGACCGCTACAGCTGCCAGTCTGCTACCTTCCCAAGGAAGTCCGCAGTCTCCTTAGTGCGACAATTAACAACCTTGATCTGTCGATCAACCTCGTCGGGTAGGAAGAGGTCCTTCAGATAGCTGTCGACCATGTTTCCTCATTGATGATCCCGTCAGGGTCAGCTCGGTCCATAATTGCTCTTGTGGAGCAGGTTTCTGGAGCGCTTTTGGCAGGTTTCTCCTTCGACGCTACGACCGACAAACGAAGCGGAGCATTGTGCAGCCGATGACTGCGTGGGTCACTTTGCACCAGGTTGTTGTTCCTCCGAGGACCTCATTCCAATGACATCCGTGGGCTGTGGCCCAGATTTTGTACCCGTGGTCCCCTACCTTCCGTCTTTGTGGATGCTGGTGTCTGGGATGTCTCAGTACTCAGTTTACCCTTGGGGTGCTGAGGGCTTAGAAGTCTCAGGCATCAGCTTCCTAGGTGTACAAGAACCCTCGACAGGTTTCTCCATCTTTGAAGGGTCTACCGAGGTGGTCTTTGTACTGGGTCGGGAATCCTTTCAATTAAGAAGTCCCTCTCAATATCGTTTGGATATTTCCTGGAGAACTTCCGGATAAATTTGAGGTTCCTCTTAATTACAAGAAACTTCTTTCCCATGATGTAGTCGCTGTCCCGTCGTCGGTTGCAGTAGTTAACTGCTCTCCGGTACATATTCTTAGCAGCGATCTCCTTGGCATCGTCTTGCCTAGCAGTTACTGGTACTGATGAATCATCCATCTTATCGACGGGGTTCTCATCAGTACCAGTATCCGTTTCGGCAACCAACTGCCTGAGTAATTTCGCGACATCACTACAGGCCGTGGAGATTGAGTGAAGATCTTCAACCTCGCCAGGGTTTACTTCCCTAGTCAGCAACTGGGAGGACTCTCTTTGCTTCGGAGGAGATACCATGGTCGCTACTGTGTTTTTCACCGTAGTGCTAATCACTGTAGTTTCCATGATGTTTTCCTCGTCTGACAAGGGCGAGTCATCCCAGATCTAATTCGGAATGCTCTCCTGACTAAGCGGAAGGAGTCGGTATCCTCTGATAGGATAAGGAGAAGATCAGACTGCCTCTCCAGGCTTTCGTTCACGTCGTCGTGAAAGAGGCCCAGTGGGTGGCTTGGTTCGTCAATACTTGAGGTCTGACCTTGTAAAATCGAGACAGCCACACCAGCTTTAGTCGAAACATCGCATACTAATTTGTTTTTGTTTTGGGGAGGGGGTTATTAAAATAGAATGTGCTGTATGTGAGGAATTGAGGTCGATCATGGCATAGCCTCTTACCATGGCAAGGACTTGGCAGCTAAGCCTGAATAAGCTTGTTGAGGCGCCCAGGTATCAACAAGGCTCCGTTATAATACAGTCGGGACCCTGACTGCAAACCGTAGAACTCTGATAGGCACGAGGTCGCATGACACCCTAGCGTTAGGGGGGTCACTTTAAAAAGGTATTTACCCAGACCTTTGAGATGGTTATTTAGGGGCGCCATTTTCGCCTCGTCGACCCAGGGATCATAGGCACTCGGTAATTTCCTCCGAGACTCTCCACCTGAGCCCGCTGATTGTCTGCGACTGTTTATTTGTTATTCACAGCTACCCAAGGAATAATATTGTGCATCGCCCTATCCGCAACCTGTGGACGCGTCCGTTAGCATTCATCTCTGCTCCCCGAAGGCGGAAATCTACTCTTTTCCTAGACCCTCAAAAATTGAGGTAGGGTATCCATGTTATCGGCTATGCCATTTACGAACTCTTAGACCTTACTCGTCATTCATAATGTTGATGTTGACATGATGAATCTACTTCAACACGATTCATTCAATGCTTGGTTCCATATTAGCCGAAGAGATTTTCTGGTTCGGATAATGGTCGTTCGTTGGTCCGATCGGCTGGTGGTGGTATCTTATCTGTTAAGCTTTTTTAAAATTTTGAACTGATAACGAAAGAAAATGTTTTCATATTGGCCTTCTGTTGTTGTGGTGGGTATTTGGAGATAACTGGCGATTGTGAGTGAGTGAGCGAGCGCCACCGTCCTTGTCACCGGAAAACCCCTCAGTCTTCCTCAAACCCCATACTATGCAGCGATGTTGTTGTTATGATGAGAAATTTGTTTCACCCAGTTAAGGTCTTTGTTTCTCCGCAGACCGTCTATTCACCTGGTGTTCTTGGTACAGGTGTTGTAGTTGTTGTTATTGCAACAAAATATAGAGAATATTTTTTGTTGTTGTTCTTGTTGTTAAAATTCTTAGGGATTTATTTTTATTTAATATTTTATTTTTATTTTAACTTAGTTTTTGTTTTGATAATAATTGGAGAAAGAAGAAGAGGCGCACAAATTGTTCGTAGACGATCGTATGTTAACTAGAAAAAAAGAAAACACATTAGAAGTGTACGAAGGGAGTACCTTGAGGTCCGATAGTAGTGATTTGTCGGGCTCATTTGAAATTTGTCGTGTGGTTGTGTATAAACGTCTTTGCCTTGGCCGCGGAAAAAATCGTTGGAAATGTAACCAAACGTCTGTGCGATTTTGAAACGGAACCTAACGGCTATGTTTTCGTTAACTTTGACCCGTAACACAAATTTCGGAGAAATTCTTTTTTCAAAATGCCAAATAAAATATTTTGTTTATAAAAATTAAACGGAATAAAAAATTACGCGCTAAAATAAAGATTATCGCTCTTATCACACTCGGTATTATAACGCAATGAATGAGAATAATCACAAAGAAAGAAAGAAAAAATTAATAAATAAATAAACAACAATAAGTGAAAGAAACCAACAACAAATATCCCTCAGCATGTTTAATTCATGCAGTGAATGGGAAAATTGTTATTTTCCCCGAAATGATAAAACCACTTTCTATGACGACATCCTAAATGATTGTGCCGAAGAAAATCGCCAACAACAACAATATGTGACAACAGCAGCAACAACAACAAATGTGAATTATGTTAACCCAACTACCCAACTATGTTGTGGCAATATATCGCCATCTAGTGAGACCAGTGTAAATTTCAATCAGAATTCCCAATTACCGGCAGCATGGCCTCAACAAGGTCCTGCTGCTGCGTACAATACGTGTTCCGAAATAATTCCAAATTGCAATCAAAATGTTGTTGTGACCACAATTCCGCGTCATCATCCTTATCGTCGTTGCGAAACTCAGCAGCCACAACCGCTGATGGTGCAACAACCGCCAGTACCACCACCACAACAACAGCAACAACACCAAATTGTTTACCCAACAACACCAAATTATATTTGTAACAATGGTGGTGATTATAGATCACAACAACAACCACAAATTATACATCCACAACAACAACCGCATCCTTCTACTGCCTCCCATGCTGTTGTCTATCAAACTCCACCAACATTTCAGCGTCAGTGGCCACAGCAAGCCAACCAACAACCGACACCAATGATACCCTTTAATAACAATGTAGGAATGCCACAACAACAACAACATGGCCACGTAAACAACAATTATTATGCTCCACATGTCCCTTTGCCCGGTTCCGCACGACCCTCTTTACCTTGTCAAGGCAATCAACCATGGACCTATGCCTATTGTTATGGCTATGGTCCCTACAGTAACCAGGAACCATGTCAATACACTCAGGTCATTGACATTGAAGATTTCATGTAAGTTAACATTTTTTGTTTTCGAAGTGTAATAGGTGTGTTCCTTGCCACACAAAACAAAAACTATCATCTGAAAAGGAAGTAGATAAAAAAAAACTCTTGTTTGAAACTTCAAAAAATATTGAAGAATATTTTTTGAAGTTTCAAACAAGATTTTTTAAAAATATTTTTCAAGGCGTTTTTTTTTTTCAAGGCGGAGATTTTTTAAAACTATTTTTTGAAAGGCGTAGATTTTTTAAGAATATTTTGTGAAAGGCGTAGATATTTATTCAAGGAGTGGATTTTTTAAAAACATTTTTTCAAGGACTAGATTTTTTAAAAACATTTTTTTAAGGCGTAGATTTTTTAAAAATAATTTTTCAATGCGTAGAATTTTTAAAAATATTTTTTCAAGGCGTAGATTTTTTAAAAATATTTTTTCAAGGTGTAGATTTTTTTAAATTAATTTTTGAAAGGCGTAGATTTTTTAAAAATATTTTTTCAAGGTTGAGATTTTTTTAAATTATTTGTTGAAAAGCGTAAATTTTTGAAAAATATTTTTTCAAGGTGGAGATTTTTTTAAATTATTTGTTGAAAAGCGTACATTTTTGAAAAATATTTTTTCAAGGCGTAGATTTTTGAAAAAACTTTTTTTCAAGGCATAATTTTTTGAAAAATAGAAATAGGCGTAGATTTTTTTTTCAAGTTGCGCCAAAGTCTCTAAATATCTTCCGATTTCCACGAAATTTGACATAGCGTACTGAATTGGGCCTAGAATGACGTACATGAAGTTTCGTGAAAATGGGTTCAGTTTTTGATATAGCTCCCACATATATTTTCGTCCGATTTAATGTAAATGGTGAACAAAAGCCCCCATACATCTTTCGATTTGCATGAAATTTGGCATAGCGTACTGAATTAGGCCTAGAATGACGTACGGGAAGTTTCGTGCAAATCGGTTCAGATTTAGATATATCTTCCACATATATTTTCGTCCGATTTAAGACAAATGGTGCACCCTATGTATCTTTCGATTTGCAAGACATTTTGCATAGCGTACTGAATTGAATTGAAAATCGGTTCAGATTTAGATATAGCTCACATATATACATTCGTCCGATTTAAGGTAAATGGTGCGCTAAAGTCCCTAAATATCTTTCGATATGCACGAAATTTGGCATAGTGTACTGAATAGAGTCTATAATGATGTGTGCTATGTTTCGTGAAAATCGGTTCAGTTTTAGATATAACTTCCATATATATTTTCATCCGATTTAAGGTATATGGTGCGCCAAAGACCCTAAATATCTTTCAATTTACACGAAATTTGGCATAGCGTAATGAATTGGGCCTAGAATGACGTACTTGTAGTTTCGTGAAAATCGGTTCAGATTTAGATATAGCTCCCATATATATTTTCGTCCGATTTAAGGTAAATGGTGCGCCAAAGTCCCAAAATATCTTTCGATATGCACGAAATTTGGCATAGTGTACTGAATTAAGTTTAGAATGATGTGTGCTAAGTTTCGTGGAAATCGGTTCAGATGTAGTTATAAATACCATACATATTTTCGTCCGATTTAATGTAAATGGTGAACCAAAGTCCCTATATATCTTTCGATTTGCACGAAATTTGACATAGCGCACTAAATCAAGTCTAGAATGATGCATGTTAAATTTCGTAAATATCGGTTCAGTTTTAGAATAGCTCCCATATATATTTTCGACCGATTTAAATGGTGCGCCAAAATCTCTAAATATCTTTCGATATGCACGAAATTTGGCACTAAATTAGGTCTAGAATGATGTGTTTTAAGTTTCGGGGAAATCGGTTCAGATTTAGACATAGCTTCTACATATATAGTTTCGTCCGATTTAATGTAAATGGTGAACAAAAGCCCCCATATATCTTTCGATTTGCACGAAATTTGGCATAGCGTACTGAATTAGGCCTAAAATGACGTACGTGAAGTTTCGTGCAAATCTGTTCAGATGTAGATATAGCTCCCATATATTTTCGTCCGATTTAGGCTAAATAGTGCGCCAAAGTCCCTAAATATCTTTCGTTCAATTTTATGTCAATGTTCTTTCGAAAAGGTGACGTCTGTTAGGAGACTATGTAATATACCCAAAGTGGTACTTCCTTACTGGTTTAAAAATATTTTTTGATGATCTATCCAAGGCGTAGATATTTTAAACAATTTTTTTACCCTACACAACTATGTTGTCTATCCAAGGCGTAGATTTTTATACCCTACACAACTATGTTGTCAGGGTATTATAGATTTGTGCAGCCCCAAAAGATTGTAACGCCGCGAAATAGTGGTCGTAGATCCACCTTGAAGTATACCGATAGTCATATCTCGACTAGCTGAATCGATCTAGACATGTGTGTCCGTCCGTTTGTTCATTATAATTTGTAAACACGATACAGCCCACTGTTATGGACCAATCTTCACGTAATTTTGCATGTAGGATGAGTTCTGCCTAATGAAGGCCCCTATTGGTTTTGGTAAAGATCGGTTAATATTTATTTCGCTCCCGAGGCCGAAATTATGGCCCAAACATCGCGATTTTTAACATGGACAAGGGGATTGGGCCAAATAATAACCATGGCTGCTTTGATAAAGATCGGTCAATATTTATCGGGCCAAATAGCCTCTGACTTTTGTGTGAAAAATTACAAAATTTGTATTCTATAGGGAATATATATACTCCTGAAGGACATAGACCCGAGTCGTTGATAGTAAATTAATACCAAATTACTCGAAGTTACACTTAAATATTTGCAGGTACCTATGTATTCAGATATTATTTAGTAACCCATTACCACACTGGAGGGCGGAAATATAGTGCTGAACGTTTTGAAATGTTCCATGAGGATCCAGTTATGGTCAAGGACAACGCCTGTGATTTTCGGTGTTTATCGGATAACAATTTTGGGACGAAGTTCACCGAAAAATGAATTCCTTGTGTGTGTGTGTGTTTTTTTCGAGTCGATCTATAGGCCATAATTATAAGCCAAACATCACAACACAACCCACGGTGAAGGGAAGATGGACAAGTAATTAGAAGCACTGTACTGAATATAAGAAATATTCGGAAAATATGTCAAATATGTTAATGTAAGGAAGAGGTGCTGTTAACCTCTAATCGGGCAAGAGGGTGCAACTATCACGAAATATTGCCCAGGCTCGGAATAAAAATCAGCAAAGAGTTCCGTGGCAGTTGTGTGGGGTATCGTATGGTGGGCCCAGTCCGACTTTACTACTTTCCTTACTGGTTTAAAAATATTTTTTGATGATCTATCTAAGGAGTAGATTTTAAACAAAAAAAATATTTATTTTTTTTATTCTACTCATTTAAATCCCCCAAGGGGGCACAAGTGCAGTACGCATCCCCAATCACTGCACATTCATTTGAAATATTGTGTGACGCATTTTCGATAATCCAGCGATTAATCAATGTCCATTAATATTCAAGAGATAGCACTATTTTTTGTGTCTAAATCGACGACTTTGTATGTAAACAATTGACGTTTGTTTTTCAGTTCCTTATGGATTTTTAATTATTACATTATATTCCAATAACGAATAGGCAGACATTCCTCCGGTGGGTGCATATTATCTGATTTTAGACTGCGGTTTTGTGGTGGTGCTGGTGTTACCCCACTTGGTTAGTAATTTCGTGTGTGTGTCTGTCTGTTGATGATTTATGGTTTTTGGTGTTATTTATTTTTAAATATAAAAAATAAAATTGCAGCAACAACAAACATAGGAGAAATATTTTTTATTTTATTTTAAAATTTCAATTTCATATTGAAGAGTGAAATAATCTACTCTCACTCTTCTAAATGTTAATGACCTTCTGTCGCATGTTTGTTTGCTTGCTCAACATATTAATTCCCAGAATTCTCAGTAATTTTACAACAACAAATTCGGTTAGCATAATTTTTTATTAGTGCCAAATAATATTATTTGTTGTAGATCTATGTTTAAAGCATAAAAAACATACTCAAAAAATATAGATAGGGACAGGTGCTTTCAAATTGTGCCAAGTCATTGTTTTATTTGAATTCACTGTATTTGTATTGAACATAAAATTGTTTTTATTGATATCAGCCACATAGTTAAGAATTATTTCCTAGAATCGCGAAATTCAATTCTTTAATTTCTTGGAGTTACCAAAAATTTGTTTAGCTAATTAAAATTGTGTCAAGAATTGGTGTCGTACTTTAACTATTTGGCGTTCTGCCAAACACGAGAAATAAATAAAATTTAAAAAAAATATGTAATATTTAAAAAAATCCGAGATCTATATATGTTGAAAACACGCTTCTTTAAAATTCCAGAAAAAAAATATGTTCCAAAAATATTTTTAAAAAAATCAACACCTTTTTTGGAACATTAAAAAATATTTGAACAAAATCTATGCCTTGAATAGATCTCTTCTCTTAGCTGGCTTGTGACAGAACTTTCATTCCATAAGCCGAGCTTAAAAACAATTCCACGCGCGTCGATCTTTTGCGCAGTTTTTCCAAATTGAAAGACCATTTTCGGCAATGTTGTCTTCGACTTGATTTTCCATCGTATTCGTGGCCTTCCCCTTCTGCGCTGGGGCATCTTCATCCATTCTCACAGCATGACCTAGCCAACGTATTCGCTGCAGCTCAATACGTCTAACAATGTCGATGTCTGAGAATAGCTGGTAAAACTCATGGTTCATTCTACGGCGATATTCACCGTCAACGCAGATCGGCCCATAGATCTTTCAAAAAATTTTCCTCTCAAACACTCCAAGAGCTACCTCATTTGCATGCGTAAGTACCCATGCTTCAGATCCATATAACAGCACGGGTAGTATCAGCGTCTTGTAGAGTGTGAGTTTGGTCTGGCGGGAGGGGGCTTTGCTTTTGAGTTGTTTGCTCAGACACATAGTAGCATCTGCTGGCCAATACTATCCTTCTCCGAATTTCGGTACCAAGGTATACAAAATCTTTGACTACCTCGAAGCTGTAGTTC